GTGGCTGAAGTCGGACGCTTAACCGACTGCGCCACCCAGGCGCCCCTGAATATTCCTTTTTTACGTAGCCCTTGCTGGGTTTTGTTGTCAAGTTTAAAAATTTTTTTTTCCAACGTTTTTTTATTTATTTTTGGGACACAGAGAGAGAGACGGGCATGAACGGGGGGAGGGGCAGAGAGAGAGGGAGACACAGAATCGGAAACAGGCTCCAAGCCATCAGCCCAGAGCCTGACGCGGGGCTCGAACTCACGGAGCGTGAGATCGTGACCTGGCTGAAGTCGGACGCTTAACCGACTGCGCCACCCAGGCACCCTGTTGTCAAGTTTATATCAGCCACTTCCTTTTCTATTCTTCTGGATGATTTGCATGAGGATTGCATTATTTCTTCCTTAAATATTTTGTAGAACTCACCCCTGAAGGCATCTGAGCCTGGAGTGTCTTTGTGGGAAGGTTTTGATTTATTTTACTGCTCTAAGACTATTACGGCTTTCTATTTCTTCTTGATTTGTATTTAGTAGGTTTTCCTTTTCCAGGGATTTGCCTGTCTCATCTAAATTTAAAGTATTTTTGGCAAATTATCCTCTTGTCTTTTTAATGTTTGTGTTACTGTGGTTATTCTCAGTTTAATTTCTGACACAACTCATTTGATGTTCTATTTTTCTTGTTCAGTCTTGCCAGAAATTTGTCAGTCACATGAATCTGTTCAAGGAACCAACGTTTGGCATTTGTTCATTATTTATCTTTTTATATTTTATTGATTTCTGGGCTTATCTTTATTCTTTGGGTTTGTTGTTAATTTCTTGAGATGTTGTGATAGACGGCTTCTGTCTGCCCCTCCAGCCCCCTCTCAAACCTGCTCCTCCTGTGCCACCTCTGGACTACATAGGGCCTTTGGCCTTCTAGCTTCTAGTTGAGTTTGGCCCAGTGGGGAGACCTGACCAAAGACTAGAGGAAGATAGAACAGTGAGGTCAGATTATTTATTTCCCTGGGCCCCCACTGGCAAGGTTGCTTTGGGCTTGCTCTGTTCCTTGACTAAAGGGCAATGTTTCTCTCAAGGTGGTCTGTTCTACAGGACCCCTTCTTCATCCAAGTTCTAGAAAACTCTTTATGGGGCCAGGAGTGCTTGTAAAAACATCACTACTAGTACATTCTCTTGTGGTTTTCTTCATTGCACCTGCACCCCTGTAATTGCCCCTTTGTAAATAAGCCCTCCTTGGAATTATCCTTTTTTTTTTTTTTTTTTTTTTTCAACATTTATTTATTTTTGGGACAGAGAGAGACACAGCATGAACGGGGGAGGGGCAGAGAGAGAGGGAGACACAGAATCGGAAACAGGCTCCAGGCTCTGAGCCATCAGCCCAGAGCCCGACGCGGGGCTCGAACCCACGGACCGCGAGATCGTGACCTGGCTGAAGTCGGACGCTTAACCGACTGCGCCACCCAGGCGCCCCTCCTTGGAATTATCCTAATTTGAACGTGACACCTACTATTTGTTGGGACGCTGACCTATACAGGTGGCTACATAGTTCATTACTTTTTCAGCTTTTGTTCTTTTCTAACATGTATATTTAAAGCTATAAATTTCCCTTTAAGCATGATTTCATTGCATCACATAGGTTTTGGCGTGTAGCGTCTTTGTTATTTTTCAGTTCAGAAGTTATACTAATTTCCACTGATTTATTCTTTTACCATGAGTTATTTGCAAGTGATTCCTTCTTTTCAGAAGGGTATTTCTAGCTTCCCTAGTTGCATATGAAGATTATTCTAATTAGCTTTTTGTTATTGGTTTCTAGAATATTTTTACTGTGACCAGGGGACATTCCATATATTATTTCAATCTTTTGAAATACATGAAGTTTACTTTGTGGCCCATATCACCAGTTATTGTAAATGTCGCACGTATGCTTGAAAAGAATAAGTATCCTATAATGTGGGGGATGGGGTGTCATGTTTGTTCTCTCTAGATAGATAGATAGATAGATAGATAGATCCATTAGATTAAGTTTAATTATGTTATTTGAATATTCTATATCTGTTTTAGTCTGATCCTCCTATCAATTAGCAAACATGGATTTGTCTATACATTCTTATATTTCTGTCAGCTTTGCTTTTTTTTTTTTTTTTTTTTTTTGAGGCCGTGTTATTAAGTGTATACAAATTAAGAATTATAATATATTCCTGTAATAACCAGATGAATTAACCCCTTTATCATTAAGAAGTGACTACCTATATCTCTACTTATGCTCTGTGTCATAATGTCTAATTTTACCTGATATTAATAGAGTTGTATCAGCTTTTTCTATTAGCATTTGCATGGTATATGTTTTTTCATTCTTTTACTGTCAACCTCTCAGTATTCTTATCTTTTAGGTAGATCTCTTATAAACAGGATATATAGTATTTCTTCATATCTAGAAAGCCAAACGTTCCTTGACAGACCATTTCTTACATGGAAACTGAGAAAGATAGAATGCTGCCACTTAATCTGAAACATAATGCAGCTTGAACTTGTAATTATTACTTTATTAATATCAACAGACCTCTTTTAGAATTCATTAATTTATTTATTTTTAGTGTTTATTTATTTTTGAGAGAAAGAGAGGGAGAGAAAGAACGAGATACTAACTCTTACACATCCCTTTGGAAGTGGCCCCCTTCACTTCTTTTCACATTTCATTGTTGTGATAGACGGCTTCTGTCTGCCCCTCCAGCCCCCTCTCAAACCTGCTCCTCCTGTGCCACCTCTGGACTACATAGGGCCTTTGGCCTTCTAGCTTCTAGTTGAGTAGGGGGAGGGGCAGAGAGCGAGGGGGACAGAGGATCTGAAGTGGGCTCTGGGCTGACAGTAGACAGCCCGATGTGGGGCTCAAACTCATGAACTGTGAGATCATGACCTGAGACAAAGTTGGATGCTTAACCGACTGAGCCACCCAGGCGCCCCTCTTTTAGAATTTAGAAACAGATTTTTATATTCCACACCTTTTCTTATCTTTTTGTGCCATTCAAAACAACTTTTTGTTTCAGTGCTGTGTTATAGTATATACTCTCTTTTAGTGACTTTACATGGCAATTAAATTCAATATGGGTACAACCAACAGTGCACATAATTCAGCTGAAGTCCCAGCAATATGAATGGTCATGGCCAAGTTCATGCATAGACAGTCAATAACAACTACATCATGACTGCCATCTGGCTGATAGCAATTATACAGTGTCATTGATTCTGCTTCAGAAACGTCAAAAAGTAGAAAACTATACATCTTAGAACCAATGAAATATGATAGATATCTCTCTCATCCAGGTTGGCAATCTTTGTCATTCCACTGGGACATTTAATTGACTTATATTTAAAGCAATTATTGGTATATTTTGATTTAAATATTATCTTAATGTGCACTTTTTACTTTTTTTTCCCACCTGTTCTATGTTCTTTCTAAACCTTACTTTGTCTTCTTTTGGTTTGATTAGCCATTTACTTACTATTCAGTTTTCCCCTCTCTTAGTTTAGATGGCACACACTTTGGCAGTCAGGATATTTGCAAGTATTCTGGCTCTCACTCCTGGGCACACAAGAGGGTTGCATTCTCTGTCTGCTTGAAGTTAGGTGCAGCCATACGCTAGCTTTGGCCAATGAAATACGAAAAGAAGTGAAGGGGGCCACTTCCAAAGGGATGTGTAAGAGTTAGTATCTGTTTTGTCCTGTTCTAGCTTCCTTCTGGCAAGTTAGTCAACCTCCCAAGGCTCAAAATGGTGGCTGCTCTATCAGCTGTGGTCCCTGCCCGACTACAATCCATGCATGATACTCCACCAACCAACCTCACACCCACCAACCTCAATTAACATGTAGTGGGATGATAAACAAATTTTTGCTGTTTATACAACTAACGTCTTAAGGTTTTGTTACCATAACATAGCCTGGCCTATCTTGATACAAAAATTGTTATCGGAAACAGGGTGCTGCCATAACAAAGAACCTAAAATATGTGACTTAGCTTAGGTACTGGGTGGAAGGTAGCAAAGTGAATGTTTTCAAAAGCTAGAAGGATATGATGCTTGACGAACACTGGTACAACACGGGGGGAAGACTATGACCTGTGGTAACTTATAACACAGATAATGAGTTTAATAAACTTATACCTCTAGAAAAGGAGTCAGAATACAGAGTGGTTAAAGAGTATGCATTTGAGGGGCACCTGGGTGGCTCAGTCAGTTAAGCATCCAACTCTTGGTTTCGGCTCAGGTCATGATCTCATGGTCTCATGAATTCAAGCCGTGTGTGGGACTCCACACTGACAGTTCCCTCACAGTGCGGAACCTGCTTGGGGTTCTCTGACTCCTTCTCTCTCTGCCATTTATGCTATCTCTGCCTCTCTCAAAAGAAATAAACTTAAAAAAAAAGAGTATGCATTTGATATGGTTGAGACAACAACAGCAAAAGAAAGGGACAAGCTTAGGAAACAATCAGTTCTTACGCAAGGATGAGCAGGGAAAACCCAGAAACTCAAGAGTTTGAAGCAATCTCTCATCCCCAACCAGTCAAAGGTAAACCCAAGAACTGGGTTATCTGAGTGACAGGATTATTATAATTCAACCTAGCGACCAGGAGGGACTCCATTGTGACCTTTTGCACCCACTTGTTTGAGGGTTAAGGTGACCTACGGTAAATCCCATGGAGTCTGATTTTGACCGAAGATGTCTGCCATTCAGTGAGAAAGTGAGCCGGTTTCAAGACAGAACTGTGGGTCGTGCCTCTTAGCACATGGAGAGGACTCAAATGGATAACAAGGCAGCTAAGTTTTGATGGTGAACTACTGACCAAAAAAGTACAAGCTTTTACCTTTTTAAGGTTCTTGACTGTTAGAATCTTAAAACGGCCTTTGAGTCCTTACCACTTACAGGGAGGTGGAGGCCTTGCTCTCTGGGAGTTCTTTCCTTCTCATTATCCATTATCCTCCAAGGCCAGGCAAGAGAGGACAATAGAGAATAAACTTTCCTTGGGGACTGAGTTGCTTTCCTTACCAGCTTCTTGCCTTTGCCTCACCCTCCTGTATGGGCCCCAGATGTGCCTCCACAGAAAACCACTGGAAATCTCTGATCAGATCCCACGGTCGCATTCTGTAGATGGAGAACTGACGCCTGGGACTGGAACTACCAGAAGCTGATTCAAAATCCAGCCTCTTTTCCCAACCTGTGTGGTCTTTCCACTCTTCCACACCGTCTCCTTATTGTTCTACCTGTCTCTAACCAAGTGCATGGCCTTCTTGGGTTTGCTTTAGTGGTGGTCTTGGAATGAGTATCTATAGATATTGATAATGTGCCTACAATTCTATATGTTTTGAAGAAACTTACGGGATTACTTTGATGTCTTCTTTGCCATGCAGGATGTAGTCAATGACCTTGTAAAAGTTGATTTCCTAGGCAAAAGAGATAAAGAAATATATAACTTGGCATCCAGAGACAAAACTTCAGCTTGAGCGTGTCCATGAGACAAGGCTTGTTTTCAACCATATGCCCTGTGGTTTTCTAGAAACACCAGCCTGGCCCTCTAAGGGCGTAGCCCAGCTGCCCCTGAGCTCACTGTCCTCAGCTGACTCCTGATTCAGCATGCTTAACCTTGGAACCAGTTCAGGGTGGCCAGGCAGGGTCTGGGATCTGGGAAAGAGGGATAGGAAGCGGTTCCAAAGGGAGCTGGGGGTTAAGTACAAGGACAAAGAGTGAAAGACTGCTTTCTGGAGTCCAGGGAGAGAGGGAGGTGGGAAGGAGACTCCTGTCTCAACTCAGCCATCCCTGCAGGGCTCAGCTCCACGGTCACGGCCCCCTTTTCTCCTTCACACCCATCACTCAGCTGCTCTCTTTGCTGTGTCAGCTCTTCCAGACCTGTCTTCCCAATCTTGCTTCGTGCCCCCCAGCTCACTTTCCACCTCTTCCATCCCTCACACCTCCTTGCACCGTGAGAACTCCCATTCTCTAAAGTAGGTGTGTTCAGTCACATGACTTCCTAACATGTAATGGGATATTGGCACATGGCTCCTTTCCCTTAGCTCTCCAGGGAAAATTCCATCACCTTATTAGATCCTCTCAACACCCACCTGTGATGAGCAGGTTAGAAACCATTTTACAAATGGGAAAACTGAGACCCAGAGAGAGGAAGGGACTTACTTGTGGTAGACAGTGAGCCAGGACCAGAAGCTAAGCCTTGACTCCTATGCTCAGGACCCTTCCTGTGATGCCACTTAAACTTAACGTTATGTTAACCTAAAAGAGTGTTTTACTCTCTGCGTCACTCTTACCCAGGGCAGGGCTATTCACAGTATAGCCTCTGGACTGGGACTGTCTGCAAACTATTTGGTACCCTTCCATGCTGAGATAAAAACAGAAATTGAGAGTGTTTAGAAACTTTTATGGCAGTTTGACTGAGTGAAGTTAGGGCTGTTGACACGAATGAAAAGGGGGAGGGGATTTACATTTTATATGTCTTAAAAAAAATTTTTTTTAGTTATACATCGTTATCACACTTTGAAAAGTATCGGTCCAAAATGGGTTGGAAATTAAAATGACAACAACAGTAACAACAAGTGTTCCTTGCCTGCAGTGCTTTGAGAAGTCCTGCTCTAGAGATTTCAATGGAGACACCTAAGCCCTATCTTGGTCTCCTGACTCAGAACCTCCACAAAGAGAAATTCCTGATCCAGTCAAGGGTGTCTGAATGTCCATTTGGTTGACAGGTGATCTGGACCTTCCTCAGGCTCCAGAGGGAGAGGCTCTGCTCATGCCGATCAGTGGCTCCCAAAAAGGGTCACGTTCTGGTCTTGGGTCTACTGTGTGCGCTCTTGGGGGCTCAGTTTCCCCATCTGGAAAACTAACGGTGTGTGCTTCTTCCATTTGCCCTGATGGAAGCAGAGCTGGGCACCCGGAGATCCTGTATCTGTCTTTGTTCTCTCTCATGGCCTTTCCTGTACCTCTCCCCCATTACTCCCTGGCCACGGCAACCACTGTGGAAGTGGAGAGGGTCTAAAGACATTCAGACCGTTTTAAAACTGACACTAGATAATCGCCAAAGTTCTTCCCAACTGTGCTTCTAAGATTGTTGTTGGGTGGGTAGCCGTATCCCTCGTAGATTACAACGCACGTCTTCTTTGAACCAGCAATTCTACGTGTGGGAATGAATCCTACAGTTACACTTCTAAATGGGGGGCAAAACATCATTTGCCCCATCCGGGGGCCTCAGCCAGACTGCTTTCCAAAGTCTGGACACAACATAATGTCGTCATCAGGAGACTGGCTAACCAAATTGAGTGCCTGCATCCAGCAGATACATCGCCTGTCTCCAGAACAGTGTAGCTGTATCTGTGCTGATAGGGGAAGATCCAAGCTGAGAAACGAAGGCACAAAACAGAATCATCCCATTTGTTGAGGATGGTGCTGGTGGTAGAATTCGAGGAGTATCTGGGTGTCTGTAGACATTCCCGGAAGGACAGACTGCTCACACTGGCCAGCTCGGGGGAGGCTAGATTTCTGTGGCATATCCTTTTGTAATGTGTGAGCTTTTCATCGGCTCATGTGTTACTTTTTTTTTTTTTTTAAGTTTACTTATGTATTTTGAGAGATAGAGTAAGAGCAGGGAGGGGGCAGAGACAGAGGGAGAGAGACAGAATCCCAAGCAGGCTTCATGCTGTCAGTGGAGAGCTGATGCGGGGCTTGAACTCGTGAACCATGAGATCATGACCTGAGCTGAAATCAAGTCAGAGACTGAACCGACTGAGCCGCCCAGGCGCCCCTCATGTATTACTTTTTCAATAAATGCAAACAAATTGTGCTAAGGACATTTTTTAAAGTGAAGTCGTACCCTGGAGGCAGTTCCTGAAAGCAAAGATGGCCGCCTTATCTACTGAGACTTTGGTGTAGCTAAATGTCCCCCTGTGAGGAAAAGGAAGTCAACTTCTATGACCTTCTCAACCTTCCTCAGGTCTTTGTTTTAAGCCATCTGTTCTCGGGTGTGGGCTGCTTCCTGCTCACAGAGGCAAGCTGTGGGCTCCCTGGGCCGCCCAGGCTGTCCTATCCATGGATCTCCACAAGCCTCCTTCAGAAAGGGTAGAAATGGACTTTTTTTTCTAAAGCCCACGGAAGAATCAATTTGCTTTCACAGAAAGCAACAAAAAGATCAGTGTGCTTTAGGTAAATAGAGCTGTTTTCACGCACTGGAGCTCAGCTGAGTTGCCTTCAAGCAACATATTCATGTTAAGAATTCACCAGCCGTTGGAAAGTCAAAACTGAGCCGTCAATGAGCACTTTTGTTGCCTACCACCTGAGCAGCGAAGGCTTTCACACAAGGGTCTTTGAGAGAGCCACAAATACAGCCATAGCAAAATTATCCTGCATGGAAATATACCAGTTTTTAAATGAGTGCTATTTTTTTTGTTTTTTCCATGAAGGCTAACTAGCCTGTATATGTTTTTAATAATGAAAACACACACATGTACAACATTTTACTTTTAAAAGGAGATGAAGTGAGGTGTAGCTGCTGTTGGCGATCTTTAGACCCGTGACTTGGGGAGGCTAATTGGTCAAAGTCCAGACAACAGTTGTATTTCTCAGGTGAATGTGACAGAGAAAGTGTGAGGGCGTTGCGAGGTGAGAGGGAATGCTAAAAAACATGGCTGTAATGAGTTACCAGGAAGAAAAGCACCCTGCGTTTGAATTCGGGCAAATGAAGTGACCCTTCCTGACTTCAATCTCTTCAACCATGAAATGGGGATAATGATACTTCCTTTATACACTTGTTGAGAAGAGTAAATAACATACTCCAGGTAAAGTACCCTGCAGATAATAAGATTCAACCCAGGTAGCCATGATGATTGGATGCCTAGTGTATGTCAGTGTTTGATTTGCTTTAGCCACCATGGTCCTGCCGGCCATTTGGATCATCCAGGCATTACAGATGAGGAAGGTGAGGCTTACAGAAGTTGCCCAAGGCCACGCAACTATCTGGTGGAACAGGGGTCTGAACTCAGGCTTGTTCTTCCCAAGCCCAATCTTTCTAGAAGATTTACTTTGGGCCAGTCTTGTCATGTTGTTTCTGTGCCCCAGTTCAGGCCTATGTGTGTCCCCTCACTAGCTGTGTCCTAGACCTGGAACTGACTATGGAGATGAGTTTAGTGACAGTACCTCATAGATGGGAAAATCGAGGACCCAAAGGATTTTTTGACCGAGTTTGCCCTATAGGTTACCAACCAACCAAAACCATAGTTATTTGCCTTCTGACCTTTTCCATCACAACCTAATACCCTGTACTCTTACAAGGACTGAGCCCCTGCTACCTGAGATGTAGGAGGGTTTTGGGAAAGGAAAGTCTTAGCCATAAGTGTGCTGGTCACTTCCGTGAAACCAAAACTTCTTGAATTGATCAAGAAGTTGATCAACTGACTGAAGAACTGACTGAAGTTGGTGGTGTCTGAAAGCTAGGGTGATCACTATTCCAGTTCCTCCACTTCTAAATTTCCAGAAGATACAAATCCAGCTCAGGTGACTTGGAGATAAAGCTCAGGGTGACATGTCAACCGTGCCAACACGAAGAGCTGAGCTTAAAAAGAAAACGGTCCCCGAGTTATTTTCTGACAGCAGCACATGATGTAATGCTTGAAGACTCAGTCTTCCCAAAAGAAATCATGCCATTGTGTGGGTGGAAGAGGAGTTTGACACAGAACAACAGCAGGTTGAAAGGTTATTTTGGATGAAACAGGGCAGATGATGTAGATGTCCAGGGGGCACTCTTTTCTGGTGTGTTCGGGAAGCTCATAGGCAAGGGTGTTAATTTCAAATTCCTGGAGTTTGCATGAAAACTAAATAAAGTCTATCATTCACACACGTGCACACACACATACACACACACGTGGGTGCGTGTGTACACGCACATTTTAATTTGGGGTAGGATTAGTATTGGCTGGGTGGGATCAGGCCTCCTAACAGAAACTGATACAGCATTTCAGACAGGCTAAAAGATCCTGTGGGACGAGCATGAGACTAAAACTCAATTCAGGGCCTGACTCTGCTGCTTACTTATCCCATGTGGCCTCAGCTAAGGTCATCCTGTCATTCTATAGGTTCTGCAGGCTGTGTGAGTGACAAATCTGGTTGCCCTGCCTCATCTCGTCCTCCCCACATACATCATATCAGCTTCTCTCTGTTTATACCAAATTATGGAAAGAGCCCAAATGTTCTTCAACAGGTGAATGGATAAAGAAGATGTGGTGTATATATATATATATATATATATATATATATATATATGTGTGTGTGTGTATGTATATGTATATGTATATACGTGTGTATATTTACATACAATGGAATATTACTCGGTGATCAACAAGAATGAAATCTTGCCATTTGCAACCACCTGGATGGAACTAGAGTGTATTATGCTAAGTAACAGAAGTCAGAGAAAGACAAATACCATATGATTTTACTCACATGTGGAATTTAAGAAACAAAACAAATGAACATAGGGGAAAGGAAGCAAAACTAAGATAAAAAGAGAGAGGAAGACAAACCATAAGAGACTCTTAAATACTGAGAACAAGCAGGGTTGCTGGGGGGTGTTGGGCGGAGGGATGGGCCAAATGGGTGATGAGAATTATGGAGGACACTTGTTGGGATGAACACAGGGTGCTATATGTTAAGTGATGAATTACTTAATTCTACTCCTGAAACCATCATTACGCTATATGTTAACTAACTTCGATTTAAGTTAATTTTTTTTTAAAAAGTCAAAAAAAAAAAAAAAGAAAAGAAAGCAATGGTATGAAAGCAGAGCTCACAAACTCAAGTGCCTGGAGAGGCCTGATAGAAACATAAATGAGTGCGGACTGGGGAGCAAGGCTATACGAGGGGAATGGTGAGGACTTTGGCAAACTAGAGAGCTCTGGCCATGTTCCAAGGAGACAGCTGCCCCTCAGTTCCCATCAGACTTACCCTGTGAGGGGGACCTGGCTGGCTCAGTGGCAGACCATGCAACTCTTGATCTCAAGGTTGTGAGTTCGAGCCCCATGTTGGGTATAGAGATTACTTAAAAATAAAATCTCAAAAAATAAAATTTACCCATGTGGGACTGTGGGTCCAGTTTCGGCTAATCTTCCACTTTTTTAAAAGAAGCTGAGAATCTATGTATTTATGGGAAAAATGTCTTGATTTTTTTTAGATGTTAAACTATCAATTCCCAAAACTTTTTAAGTAAGAAGAAAAATTTTAAATGTATGTAGCCAAACAGGTTTATCTATTGGATGGAAATGACCTGCTAGCTACCAATTTGTATAGTCTCAATTAGATATTAAGGTTATTTCCAGCTCAAATTGTCTTCACGTCCAAACTTTTGCTAGGTGAATATTTAAGCAAGTTGCTCGATATTTCTGGAGCTCTTTCCTTATCTGTGGAATGAGAATATTAATTCTTCCTTAGCCAATCCCACCAGGTTACTATGGAACTCCAGCAAGATATTAAAAATACCTTGCAAGTTACAAGATGTGGCAATTATGAACAATTATCATAACTTTAAGGGGAAACGACCCAACCCAGAGAAGATAGATATCTAAGTGATAAAGAAATGTCAGCAGGCTCTACAGTGCCTTAAATTTTGCATTTCATTAAACGTTAGATCATACTAAACAGTCCAGAGAGAGACTTACCCTTCCATCTGGAGTCCTGGGACCAGAATAGGGTGGAGCCTCACCCATCAGGACTGGCCACACGTCAAAAAATTCCTAGGGATGAGAAAGACAATAATTACACATCTTGAAAATAGGTCAAGGAAAGGAGATTGAGAAAAGAGGACCCACCTCTGTGAGTCATTATCGTTGAAGTTCAGAAGGTGGGAAGAGCTCACTGAAACCTAAGCTTGGAAGGGGTGCAAAATTCATTAGCGTTAGGGGATGTCAGTCATGTCTGTGCTTCAAGATATTGATGAACTAGGGTTGTCTAATCATTAAGCAAAAAATAGGAGCTGAGTTGGAACACCCTTATACTCCCCATGTTGTGGGAGTGGGACATGAGAGGGAAAGTGGGGTCTCCAGGTCTATGAAATTGACCTTAAAGACATGCTAAGCATGTGACTGAAGGTTTAGCTAAAACAATGCCCTCTGCAGCCTCATTTATAGTAGTGAAAAGTTAGGAAACAACCTAAGTGTCTAATAAGAGGGGACTTATTAAATGAATCATGGAACATCTACTAACAATAATGCTACAGATGTATGTGTGTGTGTGTGTGTATACACATACATATACATATATATACACACATATATATATATACATATACATATATATATATATATATTTATGTTGATTAAAAAAGTGTCCTTGCTGCACTGATGAGTGAAATATGTGAGGGGACAAAAAATAGAGATCATATAACCCCAATGTTTAACTAAACATAGAAAATGCCCTCAAAGGATTCACAACAAAACACTAACAACCGGTCTTCTCTGGGTGATTGCAGTGAGACTGTATTTAGCAATTTTTCTGTCATAAAATGTGTTGCTTTTGGAATCAGGAAAAAAAAATTTTTTTTCCCAAAAAATAATGGTGCCATAAATACACAAAGAGACCCATATCAGGGATCCGTCGAGAAAGGACCCATAAGACAACCGGCAAAGATACAGTCAAGGAAGAGAGAAATGACCAGCTAAGGCATTGCATGGGCACACAGCCTCAGAAGAAGAAACTAACTGGGACACCACGCGAGTTCTTCTCTGCCACTTGTCTACTGGTTTTCCTGAGGCACAGGGAGCCACACAGCTTGTGCTGGGCTGAGCCAGGACCTCACAGAAGAGGCCTCCATGCTTCATTGCCCTCTCTGTTCATTCATCTATTGCCATCTAGGGACAGTGATCCATTAGCACTAGGTCATCGTGGGTAGGATGCTAAGCCCTTCTGCTCTTGGCCTCTTTCTTGTTTGAACTTGGTGGTTTATCATGCAGAGGACAAGCAGAAGAGAGTCCACATGAAATTCAAACTCCGTGTCCTCAAGCTTCTGCCCAATTGGGCTCTTTGTCTAGACTACACACCAGGAAGACATTCAATTCTGGGTGAAAATACGAATAGGGAGTCTACCTGAGCCCCATAATGTGTTTGCTGCCAGATACATAATGTGTTTGCTGCCAGATGAATAAGACAGAGTTCATGCCCTGGGGGAACTTGCTGTCTCTTGGAGGGGTCAATCAAGTACTCAAGTAACTATAGTAAGGTAGACAGGGTAAGACCCAAAATGAATCCATTGGAATGGAGAAAGAACGCAAATGTTAGAAGAGCCCAAAAGAAAGTCAAGTGCATTGAGCTGACACTGTCTGTGTCAAACACTGAGTGGCTTTGAAGATTGTCCCAGAGAAGCAGCAGCTATCAACGAGGGGGTGGGCAGAAAGTGGGGCATATTTATGCTTGCCTTTCTCCCTCTTCATCTCTCTCTCTCTCTCTCTTCTCTTTCTTCTTTCTTTTATTTTTCAACAGCTTTATGGACATATGATTCACATGCCATATAATTCACCCAGGTAAAATGTACAATTCAGTGGCTTTATTGACTTCTTCATAATGTCAATAGCTCAGATAAGAGCTTAGCTACCTGGGGGGATGAGGTAGAAGGGGGGTGAGGCAGGTCATTTGAATGATTGTAGGCAGACCAGCCCATTTCTAATTGCTAGATTGTTCCGTCTTTTGGGGATGACTAAGTTAGAATATTCGTGCCTGGGGTTAAGCATCCAACTCTTGATTTCAGGTCAGGTTATGATCTCACATTAGTTTTGAGCCCCACATCAGGCTCCAATCTGTCACATGGAGCCTACTGGGGATTCCCTTTCTCTCTCTCTCTTTCTCTCTCTCTCTCTCTCTCTCTCTGCCCCTCGCCTGCTCTCAGTCTCTCTCCCTCAAATAAATAAATAAACTTAAAAAAAAAGAATATTCTTGCTTAAGTGTCATTTTCCCTTTTGAGAGGGAGCTCAGAAGAAACAGAACACAGCCACACACAGCAGGCTATATCTGGGTTCAGATCCTTTAAGGTGTGAACTGGGCACCTTTTGAATTCAACGACTCAGAAATTCTTATTAAGAAAGAACCATTCATTTGTATGAATTCATTCATTTGCTACTTCCTAAAGGTGTATCAAAGGGCTTGTTGCTGGACTTGGCAATAATTGGCAAAATATTTGGTTCAGGAGTATGTGAAAGTTAAATGGATGTTTGTACTAGAATCAGAAGTTCCCTAAAATCAGTAGATAGCTGACGTGCATCAGAATCACATACAGAACTATTTTAATTTTTTTTAATTTTTTAAAATTTATTTATTTTTGAGAGACAGAGACAGAGCACAAGTGGGGAAGGAGCAAAGAGAGAGGGAGACACAGAATCCAAAGCAGGCTCCAGGCTCTTAGCTGTCAGCACAGAGCCCAACACGAGACTCGAACTCACGAACCACGAGATCATGATCTGAGCTGAGGTCAGATGTTTACTGACTGAGCCACCCAGGCGCCTCACATACAAAACTATTTTAAAAGCAAAAATCAGAATAATAAATCCATGAGTATATGGAAATCTGGTATATGATAAAATAGCATATCAGAATGGCTGCATTTTAAAACAGTGGAGAAAGGATAGATTATAACTGGAGAAGGAGTGAGAGATAAAAGTTATCCCTACCTCATACCTACACATTCATAATTTCAAAATGAATGAATGATTAAAATATATTAATCAAAGCACATCAGATTATCTCAGATTATCTTTATAATATTAAGGTTGGGGAAGTCCTTCTTGAACAAAATCTCAAACTCAAGCATCCAATATATATGGACACTTGATCAATGATAGAGGTATGTTAGGGAAAGATGGTATTTTCAATAGGACAGTGGAAAACGAGTGGTCTTTTCAGTAAATGGTGCTGGGTCCATTGGATATCCACATGGAAAAAGTTAATATTGACCCTACCTCACACTGCACATTAAAAAATTTCCAGGTAGATTATAGAGCTGTGTGTGAAAGTTAAAACAATAAAATTTGAGAGCTAACATAGATGAATATCTTTATTGACTTGGGGCCAGCAAAGGTTTCTTAAGAATAAAAATCATAACCATTAAAAAAAATTGATAAATGAAACTACATTATAATTCAGAATTTTCATTAGTTGAAACATACTATTAAGAAAATGAAAGTACAGGGGCGCCTGGGTGGCGCAGTCAGTTAAGCGTCCGACTTCAGCCAGGTCACGATCTCGCGGTCCGTGAGTTCGAGCCCCGCGTCAGGCTCTGGGCTGATGGCTCAGAGCCTGGAGCGTGCTTCCGATTCTGTGACTCCCTCTCTCTCTGCCCCTCCCCCCTTCATGCTCTGTCTCTCTCTGTCCCAAAAATAAATAAACGTTGAAAAAATAAACATTAAAAAAGAAAATGAAAGTACAGAGTGGGAAAAGATATTTGCAATGAGTATATTCCACAGAGAACCCATATCTAGAATGTGTAAAGAACACCTACAGATCCTAAGATTAAAAGAGACAATGGAATCCTTAAAAATGGGAAAGAGACTTGAATAGGCACTTCTATTAAAGATATACACATGGTCAAAAAACAAGAAAAGTCTCTAATCTCATCAGTCATTAGAGTTCATGTTTAAGACCAAATGAGATCATACCACATGCCTACCAGTGTATGATTCTGTTTATGGGAACTTCAAGAGTCGGCACAACTAACGTGGCATTAAAGGTCCCATAGTGGTCACCCTCAGGGAGGAGGGTATGGAAATTACTGGAAAGGGATAAGCAAGGGGATTCTGAGGGTTTAGTAATGTTCTATCTCTTTATTTTGGTGGTGGTTACATAGGGATGTTCATTGATCTACTACCTGTAATTAGTGCTTGTCTCTGTGTGTATGTTATACTTCAACATAAAGCCTTATTAACAAGATTCCACATGTACTGACATGGAAAGATGTTCAGAAAATATTAAGTAAAAAAAAGCAAGAGTATCAGGAAATGTAGCCTAGTGTTTATTAAACAGTTCCTCAGAAGATTCTGATTCAAGCCTGGGAGCCCCTGGACTAGACTTAAGGTCTTATCCAACCTCAGATTCTGCAATGTATTTCATCATCAAACCAACTATTTGAAGGGTCTGCAGAGATCAGTGCACCACTCAGCACAAGGCCCTACAAAATGAAACCGACAGGAAACCTGGACCTTGGCTCTTTGGGATAAGAAATCACAAATCTAGATAACTCTGGAACTCTATTCCAAGGCAGAAAGTGATTAGCTGCAGGAAGCGGTGACAGGTAGAGAAAGAAAAATGGGGGAGTTGGTTTGGGAAAAACCTCGCTGAAAAATATTGTAGGAGCCATATTGTGTTCTGCTTTCTTAGCTTCTGCATCCTTAGTTTCTGCAGATCTGCCCCCAGAGCATTCCCAGGGACCAGATCCCAGTAACTTCCTTCACTTCAACTGCTCAGGTGGGCCATACACTTGATAAACCATGGGGAAGGTTTATGCCCACCTTTGTGTGAATTCTCTGAGAACTCCTGAAGTTGGCAACTTTCTTCCTTCTGGCTTTTACCTTACATAGAGCTTCTTTATCACTCACCTTTACCTCCTCATCAAGCCTTCTCACATATGCTTTCTTTTCCAACTGACCAGGGAAGACCAGGTTGTTTTCACTCACCTGTGCCCTAGATTGACTTTTCCGCTTTAAAGGTTGGTACTCCACTCTTCACTATAAAAGACCTGTGAGGGGCACCTGGGTGGCTCAGTCGGTTAAGCTTCCGACTTCAGCTCAGGTCACGATCTCGTGGCTCATGGGTTCGAGCCCCATGTTGGTCTCTGTGCTGACAGCTCAGAGCCTGTATCCTGCTTCAGATTCTGTCTCGGTCTCTCTCTGCCCCTCCCCCACTTGCACACTGTCTCTCTCTCTCTCTCTCTCTCTCATATAAATAAACATCAAAAAAAATAAAAAAAAAACACAAAAGACCTGTGAAAACCTGTTCACAACCATCCACATCTTCCCTGCCTCTCCCCTGTGAACTGAATGTGAGACACAAGTCTGGGCCCCACTGTATATTGATCCTGTTCTTGGAAATGTCTGTTCTGAAGCCTCCTCACCTTCTGCTTGGTCATGTCTAAGAGCCCCACAGAATATCTGTCGCAGTTGAGGAAGGCTCGGACTGTGTACAGGGCTTTGTGGAACTGCCGCTCGATATCCGTAAGCTCTTCAAAGACTTTGCTCCCAGACCACAGCAGTATCTTAACAAAACAGGAGAACACTGTCAAACTTTTTGAGTCACAAAGCAGCAGCTCACAATAACCCAGAGACAGAGACAGGACAATTATCTTCCTTTTACAGATGGAGAAACTGAGGTTCCGAGAGATGAAGTAACTGACCAGCTTATCATGGGTCCAACTCTTTCCATTTCTTTTATTTCGGAGATTGTTAATAAGAATGATAATAACAAACATGGATTGAACACAAATGTTCCACATGCATTTTCTCATTTACTATTGACAACGATCTTTTGAGGGTGGAACCAATCAATATTGCCCCCATTTTTCAAAGGGGGGGACTAAAGCTCAGACAGGGTAAGTGATTTACTCAGGGTCTTAGAGCTAGTAAATGGTTTGACAAGGATTCAAATCTAAGTTGCCTGACTTGAAAACTGTGCATATACAGCTTTACAAACATCGGCCACCTCATCAACACGAGGGATGCTGGGCAGAGACTATGATGGTTCCCAGGCAATTTTATCACCACTGCCTTTCCAGTCTGACCACATCAATGCTTCAGTAAAAGGACTCATCCAGGCCATTCCCTTAAGCCACGCCCCTTACCTGGCCACGCCGAGTCTCACAGTTGTGCAGGTAACTCAGGTGGTACACCTTCATGATTAGATTTGCGAAATTGAGGTACTTGAGAAGAATCTGGAAATCAAACAGCGTGAGGCGAACTAGATGAGAAGAAGAAAGCCCTCCTCTGGCCCCCTCTACCATCAGCAAGTATTTGAATATTTCAAAAGCATCAGAGGCCATTTGAGTAGATGGATCATGGAATGCTGACCCATGAAATGTTGCCTTGTAAGAGTGTAAAGCTCATAGAATGTAGAATGTCAGTGTTGATGGATTAATGGAAAATTGCTACTATTTATTGAGTTTGCAGTCCCTGTGATAAGTCATTTTAGGTATGTAAGTTATCTTATGTGATCATCACAAGTACCCCGAGAGATGGATACTATAATATTAGGCCCATTTTACAGATAAGAAAGCTGAGATGTAAAGAAATTAAGTAACTTGACTGAGTCAACTAAATATTAGCAGAGCCAGGACAATTACCCCTGTACCCCAGGCTCCAGGGCCCAACATCCTAACCATTACCCCTGTCCTGTCTCCCTCAGAGGGCATCAGCCTAATCCTCTTGTCTTACAGATGAGAAAACCAAGGCTGGGCCAAATAGCAAGGTTCAGGGGACTTCACAAGCTGTAAGAATGCCGCTCACATGACCACCCCAGCAATTTCTAAAGCGTTTTTACCTCTTCATCTCTCTTGGTGAAGTGGGGCTCATTCAGTTTATTCACAGCCATGAGTACGGCCACCACGTCCTTCCCATTCATTATGGGGGAAGCCAAGATGTTCTTGGTCTGGTATTCTGTGAGGATGTCCACGAAGTCACAGAAATGCTCATTCTGAAGGAAGGCAGACACAGGCAAGGGTGGGTAGAGGAAGAACAAAGACAGTAAAACAGGCCAGAGCCCCATATGCCCGTGGTAGGGAGTGGGAGGAGGGGGGGCCTCTATGATTTTGTTGACAAGAAAATGAAGACATTTCCATCTATGCCCCTTCAGCAAGGGCAAAGCAATCGGGGGTGATTTCTGCCCTGGAGGCCTCCAAAATCGAGTAGGAGAAAGTCTGAGATACAACTTACCGAGGGCTGTGGGGGAGATGTGAGCAAAGCCCTGCAGGGGTCCGAGGATGAGGGGACTGACTTCACCTGGGGAGGGAGGGTTAGAGAAGGCTCTCTTGAGGTGATGGCGAGTAAGCCCAAAATAGAAACTTGAGTGAGGAAAAGACTTTAGTGAGTCTAACAACCACAATTGCTAACGGGTATCACGTGCTTTATCTGCCTCAACTCGCTTTAATCCTGTGAGGTGAGGACCGCTAGTGGCCCATTCTACACAAAGGGAAACTGAGACTCAAGAAGGAACCTGCCCTCAGCTTTGCTGTCTTTAGGAGAAGTCTTGGTAAGGTTAGATCTGGGTCCTGGTCATTGAACAAAAAGAATTTGGTACTTCTAGCTTTTTGAGCAATTCAGTTCTAGCACCACACAGTGAGTCCAATGGATATCCACATTCCATAGGTCTTAATGGAAGCCCCATTGTGTGTCAGGCCTTATGCTGAGTGCTGGGGACACAAGTGAGACCAAGGCTCAGGCCGGCTCGCAGACAAATCAATACCAGTAATACATGACACAGGGTTTGGCTCAAAGCTATGGGAGTGCAAAGGAGTACACACCCCCAGACCCCCACCCCTAAAGCAGCCTGGGAGGCCAGCACAGGTCAGTGTGGTCTATGTGGTCAGAAAGAGGAGACAGAGCCTGAACTGTCATCTTAAATCCAAGAGAATCTACCTTTCTGTTTCTTGGTAGCACTGTGAGTTTTTCCAACCATAGGCGTTGCTTGGGACACAAGCCAGCCCAGATATGCAGTTCACGCTGTTCTGAGGAAGGAAGTATATTTCATAGAACGGATTCCCACCCCTTTTCTAGAATTGAGTGTGCAGAAACTTTCCTACGACTGAGAAATTCAGAGTGTGATGCTGTGCATCTGTGGATTTCTCCCAGTTGGAGTGGGATTAGACAAACAGGCAACGGCATTGTTGTCGATGAAGGTGTCTCAAACCAGGTAAAGGGTACAGGAATTAAGAGAAGACTGTAGGGCTCTACTTGAATTAGCATCAGAGGATTAAGCAAAATCTCTAAAGAGGCATTAGCCATGAAGGGTTTTCCATGTCATTCTCTAAGGACACCGATAAATCCCTAAACACAGGTCTTGGTGGGGCATGCTCAAATTCATTTCAGGAAGTCAGTTCATCCTTGCAATATTCACTTCTATCAGGGAAAACGATATGTGAGTCTTACCTGCATCTGATGCAGATGTTTACTAAATCTACCAGAACTTTCTTTCCCATTGAGAGACCCAGAACTCTCTCCCGAATTATACAGCTGCCAACCGATGGTGTTCGCACAATCATTGCCATCCTTATATATTCAGCATGTGAAGTGTTCTACACAACTGTGTCACAGAACCTCAGATTATCAGAAGCAGAGAGGGCCTTAGAAGACTTTTAGCTCAAGCTGTTCTTTTGTGTGTGTGTGTGTGTGTGTATGTGTGTAATGTTTATTTATTTTTGACAGAGACAGAGAGACAGAGACAGAGACAGAGAGACAGAGCACGAGCGGGGGAGGGGTAGAGAAACAGGGAGGCACAGAATCCAAAGCAGGCTCCAGTCTCTGAGCTGTCAGCACAGAGCCTGATGCAGGGCTCGAACTCACGAGTGGTGAGATCATGACCTGAGCCGAAGTCAGGCGCTTGACCCACTGAGCCACCTAGATGTCCCTCAAACTGTTTACTCTAAAGCCCGGGAATCAGATGCCCAGCTTAGGGAAAGCCCAAAGTCATTCACTCATTGAGTTAGCATTCATGGAGTGCTTTATGCCAGGCCCTGTTCTAGACTCTCGGGTTATAGCAGTGAACGAGGGAGGCTTCTCCCTGTGAACGAGGGAGGTGAAGCTGAGAGCTGAAGCTTCAGAGGAACCAGGTGGATGAAATGCATTCCAAGCAGGGAGCACACCCCTCATTCTTGGAAACCCCAATTCCTCTTTTCAAACATTCACAGTGCCAATTCCATGGTGAGATCTACTGTTTATTGAGCAATAATGACGTCCTCAGCCAGGAGCCAGACAACTTAACATCTTTTATCTCATTAACTCTCACATCAGCCTTGTCACATAGATCTGTCACCTTCCTTGTTTTTGTTTTGGTTTTTGAGCGTGCGCACGCGCGTGTGTGCGAGAGAGAATCTTAAGCAGGCTTCATGCCCAGCGCAGAGCTCAATGCCACAGGACTCAATCTCATGACCGTGAGACCATGCCTGAGCTGAAATCAAGAGCCGGACACTTAACCAACTGAGCCACCCAGGTGCCCCCAAACCTTCCCTGCTTTGCAGAAAACTCCCTTGCTGGTAAGTGGCATAGCCACTCCATTCATTCATTGATCTATATATTGATACACTGATCGACTGATTCGCGCATTCATTCATTTACTCATATTTACTGAGAACAGGCTCTGGGAGAGGTGTTGGATATGCCAAGACCAATAAGAAAGATGAGATTGTCCTCATTAGGTCCTCACAGTATAGTGGGAGCATATGTAAAACATGAACCCACAATTCAAACCATAATGAGAAGGATGTCCCCACAGGATGGGTGAATGGAAGGGAGGGACTTGTTCTCTGAGGCTTCAGGGGCCAATCAGTACATTATCAGTAGTTGAAGATACTCTGAGCCTCAGTTTGCCCTTTGGTAAAATTGGAGTGTTGGACCAGGTCCTCCTCGAGGCTTCCTTCTGGTGTGGCATGCTGGGTTCCGGGTCTCACACGCAGGGAAGGACGGCAGCTGTGAGAGTCTCTGGAAATGGCAGTGCTCTCAGGTGCACTCTTTAGAAATAGGAATTGTCATGTCTTGGAAAAACTCTCCTTTCCTCTCACACTAGTACCATGCTTACACTACTCTTACACCAGATACGTAGGTGTATCTGACCAGTTCTCTGACACCAGCTGACTGTCCAACAATTCAATTCAATCTTCCTGGAGTCAGTGTCAGACCCCACAGGGCTTTAGTCCCACAGGACTGTCCCTGCTTCAGATGCCAATTACAAGTCCCAGTTTGTCACTTATACTTCTGACTGGCTATAAAGCAGGGTCCCAAGACACCCTCCTCGGGTTTGGGAATTTGCTAGAACGGCTCACAGAACTCAGGGAAATGCTTACATGTACAGGTTTATGATATAATAAAGGATATAATAAAAGATACAGACATACTGTCAGATGAAGCACCCTTCCTGACAGCAGGCACTTCTGTCCCCTAGAGTTGAGGTGCACCACCCTCCCAGCACATGCGTGTGTTCACCAACCCAGAAACTCTCTGAGCCCTGTACTTTGGGGGATTTTTATGGAGGCTTTGTCACATCTGCATGACTGATTATTAGCTCCATTTCCAGACCTTCTCCCCTCATCAGAGAATGGGGAGGTGGAGCTGAAAGTTCCAAGTTGCTAATCATAGCTTGATCTTTCTGGTGATTGGCCTCCATCCAGGAGCCCACCAAGAGTCATCTCGTTAGAACAAAAGACCATCTACCAGTCAGGAAATTCCAAGGAATTTAGAAGCTCTGTGTCAGATGCTCCTATCACTCAAGAATTATAAGAGTCTTAAGAGTTCTGTGTCAGGAACCAGGACAAAGACTAAGTAAGTATCTCTTTTTATAAATCACAATATCATAGCCAACTGGGAAGGGTCATCATTTATTAATTCATGCAATAATCTGTAATGAGTACCCACTCTGTCCCAGGCACTGACTAGGTGCTGGGGCCAGTGGTTTATAAGCCAGACAGGAACAGGCAGGCCTTGTGGGCTTTCCTAAGGAGAAAGGGTAAAGAATAAAACACACACAAATATTGAAGGGCTAGTAAGGTTGCCAGATTTAGCAAATAAATACAAGATGCCTAGTTAAATTTGAATTTCAAGTAAATACTTTTTAAAGTATAAGTATGTCCTAAATATTGCATGGTACATACTTACACTAAGATATTATTCTTTGTTTATCTAAAATTCAAATTTTGGGGCGCCTGGGTGGCTCAGTTGGCTAAGCATCCCACTCTTGATTCTGGCTCAGGTCACAATCTCATGGTTGGTGAGTTCGAGCCCCAAGTCGGGCTCTGTGCTGACAGCCAAGAGTTTGCTTGGGATTCTTTCTCTCCCTCTCTCTCTGCCCATCCCCCACTCATGCACGCTCACATGATCTCTCTCTCTTTCATTCAAAATAAAAAAATCAACTTAAAAAATAAAAAAAAAATTTTAAATTCAAATGTTACTGGGAATCCTATATTTTATCTGGCAATCCTAACGGCAAGTCTTCCTCTAGGAAATCCCAGGGTATGAGCAGGAATTTGCTAGGACATGGGAATTTTATTACAACCCTGGGAAACTTCTCCACTCATGGTTTCACATTTCAAAACTCCACTGATAGTAGCCATTTCCCAAGTTTTTTGAGGGTGCTGAGTCACCAGCCAGGGAGACTGCCCCAGGCTTGCCCCAGGGGAATGCAGGCATTACTCCATAGTGAACTTTGGGCTTGAAGGGGAGGGGGCCCGGAATAGCAGGCCATCCCTTAGCACAGAGGCTCAGCCAACTCTTCAACAACAACAAGGATATGTTAGCATCAGAGCATCTGCCTAAATCCTCATTCACTTAACACCAGGATCTACAGAACCTCTTAGCGCCTCTCTTCTGTTTTTCCCACCAACAGAATCTAAACTGAAAGCTCCGGAAGGACCTTCTTGTCCAACTCCCACACAGACCTGGTACAGCATCCCTCCCTTAGAATAGAGCCTTAACAACAACAAAACAATAACAATAACAATAAGGAGCAGGATCGGCCAGTAGGAGCCATAACAATGTGCCAAGAACCTTGCTAGTTGAGAAATAATTGTCTCCTTTAACCCTACGACAACACTGTGCAGTCAGTATTCCTGTCCCATTTTATGAATTAGGAAGTGAGCCCAGATAGGCTCAAAAATACGCCGAAGCACGATTCTTAAAAAGTCACAGAGTCATGACTCACATCCAGATCTGACCTCAAAGTTTAACCTCTTTATTCTCTGCTATACGATTTGAAATGACCAGTGGTGAATAGCATCTAGTCCAGTGCCCTCACTTTATAGATAAGCAGGAAGACGAGAATAGCTGAGCAGTGAAGAGTGTGGGCACAAGGCCAGAGTGCCTGAATTCCAATACCCGCTCTGCCACTTTCTATCGGAGTGGCTCTGAGCAACTTACTAACCATTCTGGAGTGTTTTTGTTATTGTTGTTGTTGTTGTGTTGTGTTGTGTTGTGTTGTGTTTGATATTTGTTTTTAAGTAGGCTTCACACTCAACCCAGAGCCCAACTCACGACCCTGAGATCAAGGCCTGAGCTGAGAGCAAGAGTCAGATGCTTAAGTGACTCAGCCACCCAGGTGCCCCATCCTTTCTGGGTTTTGGTTCCACCATCTGTGAAACAGGGATAATCAGTTACGTCTGAAGACTGTAGCAATCCATGTTGGCTACAATGAAAGTCTAGAGAGAGTTGAAGGGAGCACAGTCCCCAGTCCAGCTGAAAGTCCCCTGGAGGCAGAAACACGACCCCCACCCTTGGACGTCCAAGGGGAAACAAGGAAAAGATGAACCCCATGGGAGATCCAGCCCAGTGTATTTCCAAGAAAACTATTGCCCCAGAGGCCAAAGTCTGTGTTTCTTATCTTGTCAATGAACCCACGTCAAAAAAGATGACCTGGGGCGCCTGGGTGGCTCAGTTGGTTGAACATCTGACTTTTGATTTGGGCTCAGGTCATGATCTCACAGTTCGTGAAGTCAAGCCCTCCATCGGGCTCTGCGCTGACAGTGTGGAGCCTGCTTGAGGTTCTTACTCTTTCCTTCTCTCTCTGCCCCCCACCCCCGCTTGCTCTATCTCTTTCTCTCAAAATAAATACATAAACATTAAAAACAAGATGACCCATTTGAATTCCTGCATTTGTGGGTGGGAGGGCCTGGCTCTGCCCTAACTCCTTGGTGACTTTGGACAAGCCCCTTCTCAAGCTCTCATGGCTCTAGGCTCCTCATCTGTTAAATGAGACAGTCAGATGACATCATCTCTGAGACCCCCTCTGTCCCCTTTTAACCTTATGACGCTTAATCTGAACTAAGACCAGAAGTCAGGTGAGCAAAATCACATAATGTCCAGGCTGCATCTTAGAAATGATTGAACACAGGCTCCTGATCAGGTCCGTGCTGCAATACGTGAAACCCACTTGGGCCCTGCTCTCACGGGGCAAACATTGTTTTGGGCAAGGCAGGTGTTAAAGGAATTAAGCATAATTACTTGATGGTGAATGTTTTATGCTAAGTATTTGCTGAGCATCTGCTTTGTGTCAGACATTTGCTGGGATAAAGTGGAGATTAAGGCAGGCATGGTCCCTGGCCCCCGGGCTTATTATGAAAAATGGTTTGGGGAAGGAGCCTGTAACAAAGAGATACGGGAGGGCCTCCATGAAGAAGTGACCTTTAGGCTGAGATCTAAAGGATAAGTAGGAGTTGCCCTGGGGCCGAGGGCCATGGGGAGATCTGCATGAAGTGCTCTGTCCCCGGTGATCAAAGAGGTCTACATCAGAGCTGCCAGTAGAATCTCACAGAAGGCTGGACTCACAAATGAGAGCCAAGGGGCACCTGGGCAGCTCAGGGGGGTTAAGCATCCGATTCTTGGTTTCGGCTCAGGTCACGGTCTCTCGGTTTCATGAGTTTGAGCCGCAGGTCAGGCTCTGCCCTGACAGCGCAGAGGCTGCTTGGGATTCTCTCTCTCCCTCGCTCTCTCTCTCTCTGCCCCTCCCCCACTCATGCTGTCTCTGTCTCTCTCAAAATAAATGCATAAACTTAAAAAAAATTTTTTTTTAAAAGAAGGAGCGAGAGCCAAGGGCTTAACCAAGCGGTACCGTTAACATTTCCAGTAACGAGGCAGGCTGCCACCACATGTCCCCTGATGGAATGCGTAAAGATAACCACGACATCCCCTCTATGTTACTCCTGATGGGAACACACGACCTGATTCTAATCAGGAAGACACAGACGGGCCCAAGTGGAGGGACATCTCTGCAAAGTATTTGGCCTGTACATTTCAAAAACATCCGCGTCACGGAAACCAGAGCTAGTGCTATTTGGGTGTAATTGAGGCAATTGGCAAAAATTGAATACGGACTGTTGATTAGACGATGATATTGCATCAAGCTTACATTTCCTGGATCTCATTACCGTGGTGTGCATATGTGAGAAACGTCCCTGTTCTAGAAATACACACGTCCCTGTTCTGGAAATACACAGAAACGTCCCTGTTCTGGAAATGTCTGGAAATACAGTACACGCTGTCGACTCCCATAGGGGTCTGAGAAAAATGGAGATAAAGCAAATGAGGCAAGGCCGTGGCCAATTGATGCATTTGGATGAAAGGTAGATAGTTGTCTGTACTGTATTTAGACTCTTCTGTTAGGTTTGGATTCCACCCCCCCCAAAATAAAATGTTATAAGCTGATAAATAAAGAGAAGTGCCAAACCATTACCAGCCCAGTCTGGATGGCCAGCAGCTCCCCGCCCCGCCTGTACCCACCGGGACTCCATGGAATAATGCCTCCCCGCCCTCCTTCTTGTGGGGAAGAGGGTACCTCTTCTGTGTTGAGGACGTTGGCGAGCTTTTTAGAGTGTGCGACGTGACCAACCACACCCATATCCAGGGGGAACACGATCTCCGAGTCGGGCACCACGAGGCATTCGTCAAGGACAGCATCCTTGTGAACATTGAAGAGCCGCGTGGCCAGCTCCCCGATGCCGTTTCGGACCCTGTACATGAACAGGCTCATGCGGTCTGCCTGTAGAAGGAAGCACAGCTTCTTCATGACGTTGAAGATGCATTTCTCGGTCTGCAGATTCTCCTGAAAGTCCCGCAGGAGGTCAAAGATGATTTCACTCTCCTCCACGCTGTTCAGCGAGTGGTAGTTGCTGAAGTCCACTGCGGCCTCCTTGGCCCCCAGCATGTCCGAGATGACCTTGGCCCGGTAGCGGAGGTTGTAGTACTGCTTGGCAAAGCTGACATTCGAGTCCAGGAACTTCTCCACCTCCTCTGCTGTCACCTCACCCATGGCTGGAATCCCTCTGGCCGCTTTCGTGGAAGGGCTGAAGCTGGCCTTCCCAGGGCGGTTTGACGGTCTGTGGCAAAACTGAGTCAGGATGCGTTTTGTTCCAGCCTGGGCTTCTGTGGGTCTGGCCCGTGGATTTCAGCTGGTATGGCTGCAGAGGTGAGGGAGGGAGGGAGCTCGGGAGATTAAATCATTAATATTTCCCGAGAACAAGGATTATGAGGATTATGTGTTCCAGATGCTGCCAGGCCCCAGATGAGAGAAGGTGAGAGTTTCCTTTTCACCTTGGCCTAAGAGCGGAGAAGGGATTTCTAAACAGAGCAGGAGGTGGGCAAAACTAAAAACAACCCCAAAGCAGAGGCTGCCAACAGACAGCACAGGGACACCTGCTCTAGGTGTGTTTTCACCTACACACAGGCAGCACACCTGCTCCCGTAGGTGTGTTTTCTCTGCCCTGTAGGGTGTTTTTCTGCAACGTTCGACACAGAAGTCTGCATTTGCTGTTTAGGAGATTTATTCAGCTTCTCTTGGAGAATCAGAAGAGTCAGCAGCTCTGTGCCCACTTTCTTCCCTGGCAGGGATGGCTAGAGCCGAGAGGGACTGCCCACCCAGCTCCCATCCCCCGACCCCTCACCCCACCCTTCTGTGCCCTCTTTCCCAGGTCCTCCCCAGGATGGCCTCACTGCACATGCTCACCATTCAGCCTGCCTCCCTGTGTACATCATGAGTCTGGCACTTACGGGTCTCCGGATTTAAGAAGCTGCACCTTTCCCAGCCTTCGATTTCAACGATTCTTCAATTTTCTTTATTTTTCTTTATTTTTAATTTTTTTAATGCTTCCTTAGTTTTGAGAGCGAGAAAGAGAGACAGAGAGAGAGAGTGGGGGAGGGACAGAGAGAGAGGGAGACACAGAATCCGAAGCAGGCTCCAGGCTGAGCGGTCAGCGCAGAGCCCGATGAGGGGCTCAAACCCACGAACTGTGAGATCATGACCTGAGCTGAGGGCCAACGCTCAACCAATTGAGCCACCCAGGTGCCCCGCTCTTGGCACTTTAATGTGTTTTTTCTGGCTACAACCCGTACCTTTTTGGACTGTCAGTCAGAAACGCACACAACAGTCTAGATGCTATCAGCTCTTTTTGAACCTTGAAACACCTGACTCTTCACTGAAGTACCCTCCATCCAGGACACCTGGGGAGAAAGAGAACATTCTCCTTCTGAGATGAAACCGTGCTTTCATTTCCATGAACGTGGCTGCGAGAACCTGGTGTCTCTGTGTTGTAAACACTGTGGAATGCAGGCTAATAGACTGTTGCTGGCACTTTGAACTTTGCAAATGAACTTTAATGGAAAGCAGATTACTTCCTTTATTGTAGCGTGCGATAAATTCTCGGGGTATTGCGTCCATTCCGCACTGTACACACAGGTGGCCCCTTGGTCTGGCGGGCCATGCAGCGACCAGAATTTCTCCAAACGTCCTCACCATAAATAACGTGAGTCCTCTATCTGGAATGCTCTTTCCCAGCTCTCTGCATACCACCTCCTTCTTGACCTCAAGGTGTCAGCTCACGCTAATCATGCCTCGTTGTCTTATCCCAAGTATGTGCCCTCCCCAGGTCCTGCCCGTCACATCATCCTATTTATTTCTTTGATTGCATTTATTACTGTTAGAAATGATCTTGTTTGTTTTTTGTTTCTTTGTCTTTTGTTTGTCTTCACATCTCTACTGTGACTTCCGTGAGGGCGGGACCTGCCAGGGCTGATTCCCTAGGCCTTGCGATGCTGCCCCACATTCTTGATGCTCAGTAAAAAAGTGTTTTAATTGTAAGTCTGTGATGGTTAATTTCATATGCCAACTTGATGGGGCTAAAGGATACCCAGAGAGCTGGTAAAACATTACTTCTGGGTGTGTCTATGAGGGTGTTTTTAGAAGAGATTGACATTTGAATTGGTAGACCAGTGCAGCTGGCATCATCGAATCCGCAGAGGGCCTGAAGAGAACAAAAAGGTGGATGAAGGATGAATGTGCCCTCTGTCTGAACTAGGACATCCACCTCTCCCTGCCCTTCGATATGGGTATCCTTGGTCCTCAGATTCAGACCAGGACTTACACTGTTGGTCCCCTGGTTCTCAGCCTTTGGACTCAGACTGAATTATACCAATGGCTTTCCTGGTTCTCCAGTTTGCAAACAGCAGACTGTGGGACCATAACCATATGAGTCAATTCTCTAGAGAACCCTAATACAAAATCAAAACTCTTATATATTCTTGAGTACAACTTAGAAAATACAAGAAGACACAAAGGAAAAAAATTGAAATCAAATGTAATCCCAGATACTATCATTGCCAATATTTTTTGGATATTCTTAAATATGTGGAATACACACACACACACACACACACACACACACACACACACACTCTAGGAAAATATCAAGATATATATTATTTATAAGATTTCACATATATTTTAAAGATTTATATATAAATCTATAAGTCTATGTATATATAAATACATACATATTGTCAACCTTGGCACTATCAACATATGGGCCAGTAATTCTTTGTTGTGGGGGCTGTCTTATATATTGTAGGATGTTTATTTAGCGACACCCCTGGGCTCCACCTACTAGGCACCAGTAGAATTCTCCTTCAAGTTGTAACAACCAAAAATGAATCCAGACATTTCTAAATGTCCCCTGGGATCAAAATCATCTCTTTTGAGAGCCATGGCTCTACAGTTAGATATTTAGGTTGTTTGTATAATTTTCTAGTATTGTAAATAATGCTGTAATGAACATCCTTATATTTTTAAGTAAAAATACCTAGCAGTGAGATCCCAGGCCCAAAGAGCTTATAGCTCTGTAAGGGTTTGGATAAATAATGCTAATTTTGCTCTCCAAGGCTATACCAGGGTATATCAGACCTTTCTTACCCCACCTCCTCCCCTCAGTAAGTCAGCAACTTTTCTTAATCCTGGCATTAACAGATCTCCAGAAGGTGGCCCCAATACTGTTCTGCTTTGCTTTTCACAATTTCTCTACAAGGACTCTAAGCTCAACCCTAGTGTTTGTCTTTTTTTTCTGGGTTTTGCACCTCTGTTCTTTATGTGCCCTCTGCCTGTCCCTTCTACCCAGTCCCAATGCCATTCCCTCCATGGATATTTTGATGTCCCAGCTAGACTCTTTTCCTATTTGGAATCCCCAAACTATTGGTTTCCTTCCATCCTGATGGGAGTTTCTTTATTCTAGGCTGTATTACTTCTGCACATCTGCACTCTCCTCAAACTCAAGCTCTTTGAGGATAGGAGTAAAACTTCATCTATTTTCAAAATCACAAAAGCTCAGCTCATGTGCTTTCCCATAATATGCCCACCAGGCTTAGTTCTGGTGGGAATATAAGCCACTGTTCCCCAAGAAATCTACTTTTACCTCATTTTTCAATATGCCCAAATGAAGAAACCAAGCCTTTTGAAAGACTTCAGTTCTAATTATTGGGTTGGAACAGATAAGCAGATATTTGCAGCAGGTGACCTCCTAGCATGCTTGCTAAATGGGCCTGATTTCAGAATATCAGCAGAAGGAAATCTGAAGCTTCTTTCACTAGGAGGAGGGGCTACCTGTAGGATTAGGAAAGATTTTTCTGTGTAATCTAGTCTAAAAAAGAACATGTACTACTAGAAAGAAGAAAACAGGACTGTAGACCCAGCAATGCCACTGATTCATTCTGTGACCTTGAGAAAGTCTGTCCTCAACAAGGCTTTGTTGATTTCCTTATCCACAAAGCAATATTTCCCTATCCACAAAACATCTAATACTGTATCTACAACACGCCTGGATCCATGATTCCAGATGGGCTCAGAGTGGAGGAGGGCTGACCAGGAACGGCTGACCTGTTCGTTCCTGATCATAAGCCTTCCTAAAGGACTCTCCAGAAAGACTAGCTGGAACTGTTTATTTAGAATAATCTTTATTCCGAGGTTCACATTTCACAGGTGAAGAAACTGGGAAGTTTTGAAAAGTCAGGTGACGCTAGTCATAAGTGACTTGAATTATTTTGAATTGAGATATATAATTCATATAACATAAAGTTCACGCTTGTAAAGGGTATAAAGTGTAGAGTTCAGTGGTTTTTAGTATGTTTGTTATGGTACACCCCCACTAATCTACTTTCTCATCCCCTGGTGACCACTAATCTATTTGCTCTCTCTAATGATTGACCTCTTCTGGACATTTTATATAGATGGAACTATACAATATGTGGCCCAGACTATTTTCACTTAGCATGATGTTTTCAAGTTTCACCCACGCTGTATCGTGTATCAGAACTCAATTCCTCTTTATGGGGATATGTTTTCAACTGTAGTGGGTATATACCCAGCAGTGTAATTGCTGGGGCCATAGGTGATTTTAAGGCTCCGAGTTTGGAGGTAAAAAGAGGGAATAAAGGAAAGAAATAGGACAAAGCAAGGCACCAACTGGGTCAAGGAGAGGCATTTGTGGAAAGGTGTTTGGTGAGGCGGTTTTTTGGAAGGAATAGGAATGGTCAGCATATTAGTGCCATAAATTCCAACGTTGGGTGAAAGTTCTCCATAGGCTCCCCATCGTGCATCCTTCCTGTTAATAGCAATAGTAAAGGAACCAGGGACATTCGATTGGGAGGAAGCTCTGAAAGACTGTTGGGGGTGGAGAGCATGCCAGTTTGTTTAGGGGAGACCCAGAGAGTAGCACAGAGGTAGAGGTTATTATAAGAAGGCAGTACCCAGAGCACTTAAGAGGTAGAGTTCAGGACTCAGACCTGGGCCTGTCATTTACTATCTGTGTAAATTATTTAATTTCCCCTGGCCCTCATTTTGCTTTTTTTTAAAATGAAATTTATGGTCAAATTGGTTTCCATACAACACCCAGTGCTCATCCCAACAGGTGCCCTCCTCAATACCCGTCACCCACCCTACCCTCCCTCCCACTCCCCATCAACCCTGTTTGTTCTCAGTATTTATGGGTCTCTTATGGCTTGCCAGGACTGTTGGGGAGATTAAGTGAGATAGTATATAGTAGAGTGCAAAGCTATGTACCCAGGGTATATTAAGTTGAACCCTATGAAATTACCCCTATTTGACTATTTTTGTCCTGCACAAATGGCAATCCCATACAGCTCAATTTAAT